CTGGAGGCGTTCGCCGAGCGCTTCAAGCAGCGGCGCATCAAGCTGGGCGTGACGCAGGCCGACGTGGGCTCGGCGCTGGCCAACCTCAAGATCCCGGGCGTGGGCTCGCTCAGCCAGAGCACCATCTGCAGGTTCGAGTCGCTCACGCTCTCGCACAACAACATGATCGCGCTCAAGCCCATCCTGCAGGCCTGGCTGGAGGAGGCCGAGGGCGCGCAGCGCGAGAAAATGAACAAGCCCGAGCTCTTCAACGGCGGCGAGAAGAAGCGCAAGCGGACTTCCATCGCCGCGCCGGAGAAGCGCTCCCTCGAGGCCTACTTCGCGGTGCAGCCGCGGCCCTCGTCGGAGAAGATCGCTGCCATCGCCGAGAAACTGGACCTCAAAAAGAACGTGGTGCGGGTGTGGTTTTGCAACCAGAGACAGAAGCAGAAGCGAATGAAATTCTCTGCCACTTACTGAGGGGGGTGGGGGGCGTCGGGCGGGACAGGCGGGGGGGCTGAGGAGGCGTCTTGGGGGGCTTTCCTCTGCCCACCTCCCCTCGGATTTGGAGTGTCCTCGACCCTGCTTGCATCGGGGAAGTCCTCCTCGCGCTCGTCTCCGCCCTCCTCCCCGCTCTCCTTTCCCCGACTGTCCCCTAGCCTAGAGGACCAGGGTGCCGGGTGTGGAGGAAGGATAGGGTAGCGAGGGAGAAGGAAGAAGCGCTTGGGTGACCGGTGAGTGGGGCGAAGGAACGCAAAGGCCAGAGCAGAGATTTTAAGGAGCAGGATGGTTCTGAGGGTTAGGGTGGGGGGAGACGTGGGAAGGGTAGGGAAATGGACTGTTTTTGACCAGAGACACTTACCAAAATCTCCTGGGGACCAAGGACCTATGTACAAATTCAAATCTACCCACCACCAGAAAGTAGACAAATAAAGACAAACAACAAAAGCAAAGGAAAATGCTTTAGAAATTTATCTCCGGGGAACGGTAATCTGCAGCTTCATTCTACCCCCCCCCCCGGAAGAAAAAAAAAGAGCACCACCCGCCCCAACCATGCACGCACGAACTGAGGCAAAACGAAAACCAAACGAACCAGGAGGGGAAATTCTGGGCAGCGGAGCTACTTGTTCTGTCTGCGTGTTTAATTTTTCCCTCTAAATTTGACCTCCACCCCATCCGTACCCTCTTTGATTTAATTCCTCCGTTCCAGTGAGACTTCAGTGGCTGCTCTCCAACGCTGGGAAGGGAAGTGGGGGCACAGCTGGAAAGAGAGGGAGGATCTGGCCGCTTGGTTAGGTGGAACTAAGTTTTCCAGCGACCGGGCCTTCACTCCTGTGGCCGGGTCCTGGTGAGGCAGGGGTCTTTAGAGGGAGAGAGAGCACAGTCTTTAAGCTGACTAAAAGGCAGAATTTAGAGGCTTCGAAGTATCTTAGTCTAGGAAAATAAAACAATTTTAACAAGGGGTTTCTGTTTTTATTTTTACTCATCTCTATTTCAAAATAAGTTTTTTTCCTCCTCATAAAACTGTACTTTAGTTTGCCTGCTCATTTATTTTTTTAGAATGGTTTATTTTAAATTAGCTACTTCCCCCCCCCCCCCCCCCCCCCGTTGATTCAAATAGATAGATGGAGTGGGGTTTATTAGGAGAGATGCTCCTTCCCTCCTGTTTTCTCCACTGAACAAGGCTTATCTTGCTTTTCCAGGTCCCCTTACCTTCTCTCTCAGAGAACATGAAATTATTGAAATGTTGAGAAGTTTCTACTTGCTGTTGGGGCAGGGCTTGGCCCTTAGAAAATCACCAAATCCCAGAAAAGAGGGAGACAGATTTAAAGTTCCTCCCATTTGTTTCAAAGAGGTCTGCATGTTGGGGGAAAGCAAAACAACTGTGTTTCCTTTTCATTATTATTATTATTCAAGAGTTATTTATTACTGGGGATCGATGTTGGGTAGCAAGAACTTAATTTGCACTATCAGTCTCCCAAATAGAACATATTGTATAGTATTTCATAGTAATAATCAAGGTACCTTACAAGCTGCTGATGGATTTTTTAAAAATGAGAAAGACAGTTGGTTAGGTTTAATGCCTGCTTTGTGTACAAGATACTCTTTGGATCTCACGTGGAGATGGTTTGTTACCATCCTTTAATCATAACTAAAACACTGAAAACAACAAATGAGAAAAGAAAAAAAAAAACTGCCGTTTAACAAGACTGAAATCATGCATGATCTGAAAGGTATGGAAAGAAACACAATTAGGTCTCACTCTGGTTAGGCATTATTTATTGAATTACATTGTATATCATTGTTTGCAGGGCAAACATTCTATGCATTTGAAACTGAGCACTAAACTGGGCTAGCTTTCTGGTAGACCGTTTTGTGGATAGTGTGATTTCACAGTCTACTGCCTGTTTCCACCGAAAACACAACATTTTTTGTCATACTCTTGTATTTAGAGAAAAAGGAAAAAGAGGAAGATTATTGTAAATATTTTATTTAATGCACACACTCACACAGTTGTTACCAACTGCCAGTGTTAATCCTGAAATGTCTCACGGGTTGATCTACCTGTCCATGTGTGTCTGCTGAGCTTTCTCCTTGGTTATGTCTTTTCTCTTTTACCTTCCCCCTCCCCTACTTCTATCAGAACCAATTCTGTGCGCCAAAATACAACAGGGGGATGTGTCCCAGTACACTTACAAATAAAACATAACTGAAAGAAGAGCAGTTTTATGATTTGGGTGCATTTTTGTGTTTATACTGGGCCAAATCCTGGTAGAGCCATTCAACAAATGAGGATTCACTTAGCCAAAAAAAAAACCCAACCAACCAAACAACACACAAACCAACAAACATGGGGCAGGGGAGGATGTTGAAAGGGGAATAAAAACAGGGGAAAGGTGGAGAATGATGTATTTTTTTGCTGAATCAGAATTCACTTTCAGATAACTCATGTGAAAAGTGGTGCTCTGAATAAAATGAATTCTATATTAGTTGCCTGTGTTTATAAAAGTTTTTTTTTTTTTTCTTTGAAACTACCGAAACTCTTAAACCACAGCTCTTGATCCCGCGTGGTGAAAGTTAGTGAATGACCAGGCACCTGAAAAACGTTTACAATGAGGGATGGACGCATTTGGAGGTTTGTATGTGATGTCCTAGTCTAAAGACACTTCTAAAAACATTGTAACTGAAGGGCTTTTCTTTGGAGGTTAATAAATTTAGACATCCATGAATCTGTCCAGATAACTTATCAAATGCTTCTGTTCATTTGGAACATTTATTGTGCCACCTACCGCTCCAGGGTGACCAGAGATGCTCTATTTCTTGGTGATTTGGGACTAGATCCGATGCCAAATGTACAAAGTTTCTTAATAGCTGGGATGATATCTTCTGAAGTCATCCTATTTTAGCCAAATCTTTTAAATTTCACCGGCAAATCTGTGAATCAATACACTTGATATTCAAAAAAAGAATAGTACATGTTAAAAGCTGTGATTTTAAACAGTTGTTGATGTTTTTTTAAAAAAACAGCAATAGAGGTATTTTTAAAAATAGATCCCTTCCATAAAAATTGATTTGTTTCTGTCGTTGACTTGAAATTTCAAAGTTTTAAATAAATGCATTTGTAAAAAACAAAACAAAACAAAAACTCACGTTATTTTATAGAAAAATGTGACCAAATTTCAATGTTGGAAACCCAGAAACTAACGAATGAAAAGATTTATGAAGATTTTTTTTTTAAAGTCTACCCCAACAGAAATGTTGTAGGCAAGTGCATTTGTATTATATAACAATGACCCATGTATGTATTAAGAACTTAAGCATTTGTTTTATATTAAGTAAAATCTTTACCAAGTAAAAAGAAGGCTATTATGTTAATAAAATAGATCATGAAAATACATGCTTTGCAGAGTTTCCTATTTTATGTAGTAGGAAACTGTGCAAAACAAAAAATGCATTGCTTTCTGCTGAATCTGCATACAGCTAGAAGGAATAATAAGATTATTCTAAAACACCTTTGGCTGTTAATTCATGAAACAAATAAACAAAAGATGTTCTCCTGAAGGGTGCAAAAGCGACAGTTTGGCCTTTCAAAGTTTTTTCGTTCTGAAAAGCAACTTCATGCCAAAGGGATTTGTTCCCACACCTGTCAGTGGATGGAAATGATAAAATGCGTGGCTCGGGTTCCTTTTGAAGAATCATCTCAAAGTAAGTTTGAGAGACTGGGAGATGCATTTCAGCTTCTCAGGAAATCCAGGCGGCGGTGGAATAGGAAAGGCGAAAGAAAAATAAGTATTGAATGCATCTGCTGCATGTATGCCATCCATTCGTCTTAATCGCCTCTTTTCCCCAGTCCCAGCTCGGGTCTTGCTCCTCCGGTGTCTAAAACATGATGTCCTCAAGACCCATCCACTCACTCCTGGATAGATTTTTGTTTAATGCGTATTCTGAAACTGCTCTCAACTTCGATTACACTCTCGTAAATAAACTGTAGGCACCTACTCCCGTGATTGTATCGATTTTTACTTTCTTGTGGCGTTAAGACTACTTCGGTCCGGTTCCCACACGTGGCCGCGTAGTGAGGGGACAGGGCGCCCCACGACCCTTTGACTCCTGGGTCCGGGGAGTCCCCGCCCCGCCGCCCGGCCTCTGTCGGTCGCACCCTGCACCTTTCGAGTCGTGACTCTTTCATCGTTTATTTTATTTATTTATTTTTTTTGGTGCGTGAAGTTGTAATTGGGGCTTCTGATGCTGGCTGAAACTAGCGTCCCCTGCTGCACTCGAACGGCCTCGGTGGCCAGCGGGATGATAAAGGTGACGGCCACCATGATGATGAGTACGGTCCTGCCGTGGTGTCATTTGCCGTCGCGGTCTGGGCCCCACGGTGAGAGCTAAGCAGTCCTTTCGGGCTGTTTCAAAAGAGACCAGAGACCGCAAGCTTAATTGATTTTTTTTTTTTTTTAAATGGCAGCCGAATGCTAATTCTCACAGGGTCCTCTTTTCCACTTGCGAGATAAGCCTTGTCGCAATAATTACGTTCTTTAATGTTTGATCAAACCTTCGCGCCACTGCGGCTTCCGGCGCCAGGCGGGCTCCCGGGGCAGCC